TAAGAAAAAGTCAGAGACCTCTTATATGATCCTTTGACGTGGGATAAACACATTTAAAACGGCTGTTGTGCAGAGAATGCATGGAAGTTGTTTTATGTAATGGAACTTTATGATATTATGCGCTATGAAAAAGCTGCAGTAAAGAAAACTGTATTGGAGAGGGGCTAAAATTAAGTTTTGCGCATTCTCTCAAAGATAAACAAATAGTGCTTCATAGCTCACGTATGTTAACAATCTGTGTATGCGCCGTTTCCACTAACACCTTTCAGGCGTGTTGTCCTCCTCCCAGCACAACTAAGCGATATATATGGCACATTGCAAATTTTAGCGCTCGCCACTTTTACATTACGAAAAAGTTACGATTGACGATTGCCACCATGGAAGCAATTCATTGCACAATTGTTTTCGCTTAGGCACAACTTTTTGTTTACCGCTTTCAGATAAGAAGCAAAAAATACAATTGTTTGAAGCATGATCGGTGGATGTATTCATATCAAGACATTCAATTCATTGTTTGAACACTTAAGACTGCGAATGTAGCTTAGATAGGCGATTTCAAAGAAGACATGATAATAAAAGAAGGCGGTAGTAGCTAGACTTCACCACTCAAATTACAGCATATTCCAAATTCTTCTTTTAAGTGCTAACAACGTTTCATAGCAATTACATATGCTCGTCTTAGGTAGGTTACAGGGCACTTGGTCCTTGAAACGGAAAATTGACAAGCATTTTTGTAACGACTAAGATAGTGGACTACTTTCACCTCAAGCAGTTTCTTATTAACACAGCCTTTTCCAAGTTCATGGGTTAAAAGTGCGATAAGCCTAACTTCAATATAGAGATGAACTAACCTGCTCTAACAACGTGGCAAACAGGCTCAGTAATTCTTCGAATGTTGGCCGTTTATCAGGCATTTTATCCCAGCATCGATTCATTACTTCGGCACTAAAATCATCTTCCCTCTCTCTTCCTGTGAATGAACAACTTCGCTTAGCTTACACTTTATCAGTTGCTAATAATGGTCTTTTTGGCCTGTTACCAGCTTCTAAATGTGCAACGAGATTTGTGGGTTCAATGTCGTGAAATGGTGTCTCTCCCATAGAGTACATCTCGAATAAGACGATGCCGTAGGACCATCTAGAACAAATTATTCACTGAGAATGGAATCTAAGTTGGATAAATAGAAGGAACATAAACATACACGTCACTTTTCACGGAGAACACTTCACGCTGTAAACATTCAATTGCCAACCACTTTATAGGGAGTCTACCTTGGGCAGGTAAGGAAGCCCCGGACGCTAAGAAAGACAACCCGAAATCGCTGATCTGAATTCACTTATGACTTTTTTGGATATGTGGGCATAGATTAGCCGTAACTAGTGATTACGGAAAGAATGTTGATTGTATTAGAAGATCGATAAAATAGGGAAAAACTTGAGGAATGAGAAGATTTGTGTAGTCAGCGTATTTATAATAGTCGTATTTTTGAGAAACTCACTTTCGCATTTCTCATCCCACCCGTGC